TTCCGGTCAGAGGTCAGAAGCAGGCACGTATGGACTCGTTTGCATCACCCAGGAATCTCTCTGTCGTAGAACCTGGACATTCCTGAGCGTTTCACGTCTCTGAATGCGGATCAGTCTGCGGTGTTGAACGCCTAACGCGCTGCCTTTTATTCAAAAACGTGATGGGTGCCATTTTATCAGTGAACTCATCTCAGACCCTGGCGAGGGACCCTTCGGTCTTTTAATAGACTAATCACATGACCTTTCTATAGCGAGAATTCTGGGCGTCGTGATCCACTGATGATCCGAACGAAGAACTTACGGTCCTGTTTTAGATAATGTGAGCACGCGTTTACTGGATAAGGATCTGCTATACGAGTGGGGATTTTGAAGCGATCTACACACATACAGATGTGTATGTACTGTTTGTTTTCATATTTGGTAACTTTTTGTAAAAATTGGAGATTTTCAAAGGGAGGAGTTTGGCAACACTGACTACACTCCTCCGGATTGGAAATTTGACTTCTTTGTTTGCAGATTTCCAACCCAAGATGCAAATCAGGGGGAGTTTAAAACAATATTTAACAAACAAAAAAATGTATCAATATTTTGCAGTAAGTATTCTGCACAGTTGCTTTAGTATGGTCATATTCCTTCCAAAAAAAATAAATAAATAAATATCCAACCCATGCTGGAGGCAATATATTTTTTTTGTTTATATATGTATATTATTTTTTAAAAATAAATATTCTCACCATTCTAGAAGATCTGTAATACTTGCTCTGCTGCACACAAAAAAAATAATAAAACCCACACTGCTGAAGGGTTTTTATACCGTATATATTTTCCCTTGCAAGACCAGATCTTTTTGCTGCTCATCACCCTCCTGTTTAGAAAATGGTTTATCCCAGTGCATGAACTGGGATGGCACGTCCTGATTGCACCTTCTCGCTTCCTTCTGTTGTCCTCGATGCCCAAACAAAAGGCGCGCCAGCTTTCCTCTTCTCTCTTCTCTCCCCTCCCCCTTCTTCTCTTCCATATTTCCTCAGTTCATCCCTCCCTCACACCTTCCATCTCTCTCTCTCTCTCTCTCTCTCTCTCTCTCTCCATTCTCTAACCCCTTTGTCTGACTTCACTCAAACACCCCCCCACCCCCACCACCACCACCAATCTGTAATTGTTCCTCTAACATCGTATTTCTTCTCCGCCCGTCTCCCGGTGCGCACCGCCCGCCCGCTGCAGGTATTCTCTGTATGTTATTGTGGCACGCTCGGGGAGTGATTAAACCATCGTACATGATCTGTATTGCATGGGCCTCTCGCCGGGGTCCATCCATCACAGCCTAATGCAGCCGGCCGCGTGACTTACAGCTCACACCCACGCCTGGAACGGCCGGCCTGGGAGATGGAGCGGGTTTTAACCCTGAGAGAGAGAAAGGCACGATCGATCCAGCGCTCACTACGAGCGCTTTCTGTCGTTTTTGGTTTGTGCGTGCGGCGGGATGTGTAACCTCTAACCGAGCGGGCCACCACGGGAGGATTTTAGGGGGGTTACGGTGTCTGCATTTTACAGAACAATTCAGAATACTGTGGAGGAGGGAAAAAGAGGAGGGAAAAAAACCCATTTTGTCCCCATTGGGCACCAAAAACCAGTACAGTTTTGTCAAGTTACATTCGTGAAGAATCGCGTTCAAGAAATTGATGTGGGGTTTCATTTTAAACATATGACATCACAACACATGAAACAATTATGCAAATGAAGTGCACTCAAATGATTTTCTCAAACAGTCATTTTCTCGTCCAAATAAATCGGTTACTGGTTATTTTTCTGTGGTTTCTTTTAAGCTGTATTTTCATGTTTTTTTTTGTTTGTACTTATTAGTTTTTTGTTCGCTTTAATTTTTTTTGTCTTGTTTTTGATTGTTTTTATTTCAGTTTTTCATTTAAATTATTTTAAAATTATTTATTTTTATTTAATTATTTTATTTATTTATTATTTATTTAAATTATTGCTTTTTGTCCACACGGTGACTTGTTTAATAATAACCGGATGCTTGCTTCCTCCGAATGTTGTATTTTTTTATTCGGTGTCTTGCTCTTACTGAGATCCGTATATGAAAGATCTGTTGTAGACTTTTACGGCCAGTGTGTGTAATTGAGCTCTTAAACAGGATCTATCTCAGCGCATCAGGCCTCGGGACTCTTCAGAGGATCCGCAAAGGAGACGATTATGCCAGGGCTGCTAATGAGCGCAGCGTAGATTAGCATGTTTAGCAGAGGAGTGAAATGGGAGCGGTGAGCGGCTCGGGAAGTTAGCTTTAGCACCGATCCTGTTTGGTTTCAGGAAAGAAAGTGATGCAGAAGTAAAGGAGAGAAGAAGCGATTATAGGGACAGTTGTTCTGTAGGACCTGGCAACTTTCCCTCATCTCCCCCTCTCTCTACCTTCCTGTCTGTCCTCTCTTCCTGTCTCTCTCCCTCCCCATTCCCTCTCTCTACTTCCCTGTCACTCCCCCATTTCCCATCTCTCCCGCCCTCCTTCCTCCTGCTTTCTCACTGTTCTCATGCTTTGTCTCCCCTTTCCCTTGTTCTCTTTTTTGTCCCCTTTTACTTGTTCCTCTGTCATCATCGCTCCCTATCTCTGTCTCCTTGTTCTGTGTGCTAACCCTCTCTCACGCTCTCTCGTGTGTGTGTGTGTGTGTACTAATATCTATCTTTCTTCTCTCTCTCTCTCTCTCTCTCCAGGTGCATTGTGGATGTGCATCGTGCTGAATCCTCACTGTAAGTCCGAGCAGAAGGCCTCGTGGCTCCGGCAGCTCAAGAAGTGGAACGGCGTGGACGTTTGCCCCTGGGAGGATGGTAACCATGGCAACGAGCTGCCCAATCTGACCAACGCTCTGCCTCAAGGTGCCCACGCCAACCAAGGTGTGTGTGAACATGTTCAGGGGTTTGTGGAGACCAAAATCGGTCTTTAATCAGCCCAGAAATCTGCCAGTGCCTCCATTTTTATTGGGCTTAGTGGGACTAATTGAACGGCATAACGACTCCAATTCCTCCTCCTCTTCTTCCTCCTCTTCTTCCTCTACACATTTCTGTCTTCACTTTGCAGTTCTTAACCCACGGCAAAATTAAACGAAGAGCCTTTAATGAAACTTTGTGTGTGTGTGTTGTGCTTTTGTAAGGGCCAAAAATGTCTGTAAGGAGTCTTTTTTGTTATAAATATTCATTTCCGCTTTCTAATAATTGTGAGAAATGATCTCTCCAAGGCAGTGCTTTGCATTGTTCATAGTTTTCTCAGCTGTGCCAGAGGCATGAATACAGAGGAACGGTATTACACGACTATAATTATTATTGTGTTTAAAGCTATTTTGTGCTTACATCGATTTCCACACACCCCCCTTTATTTTCAATCCACAGTCCGCTGTAGAGTAACGTCATGTGATCTCACCTCAAACGTCTGCTAGAGATAACCTTTACAAACGGCAAAGTGAGCGCTAAAAAAAGAGTCGCGGTCCGTCTTTTAAAGGGAAAAATGATAACCGGTGTTTATCGAGTGAAAACGTACACCAGTAACTTGGAGTATAATAAACGATGAAACTCGCAGAATACTAATGTTGTGTATTACATTACACTACATTAGTCGGTTTGCTAGCTAGCGGAGTGGTTTGTGTTGGTTTTGTTTTTCATCTCTGCATACAGTTACACACACACACACTGTACAATGGTGGAATGGAATTTTATGAATGCGTGTCAGTTTGGTGTCGAGCTCTAGTTTGCTCCACCTGTGTTACAGTGTGCGGGATTGTTTTGTCTACACCTGCCATGGGGGGGGGCCCAACACGGTTTTTAAGCTTTTCAGACGTTATGCCTGCAGAACGCTCCTTGCTTGAGCATTGCGAGTAAATCTCTGCCATGACCTTTCCACTCAGCGCTCTCCCTCCTCCACTCTTCCTCAGATTCGAGCGCTCGGCCTCACCGGACAGTGTTCACGAGGGCCATCGAGGCCTGCGACCTCCACTGGCAGGACAGCCACCTGCAGCACATCATCAGCGATGACCTCTACACCAACTACTGCTACCACGACAGCACTGAGAATTCCCTGTTCGACTCGCGCGGCTGGCCGCTGTGGCACGGTAAGCGACTCGAGCCGGGGATAAAAGACATCCAGGCTGACTCGCTCCTTTTGTTTTGTGTGATATCAGGGGGGGTGGATGAGGAATGTGTGCAAGTTGCGCCTGGAAACTTCATGCTTTTTCAGAAATTCTTAACGACTTGCAGGCTGACCGCAATCTCTGTGAGTGATGACCACATCACCCTTTACCGCTTGTTGCATAGTGCTTTACTCACCTTCTTAAGAACTTTAGTCAGAGAGAGAGGGGGGAATGGTGCAGAACAGGAACGAGTTGTTTTACCAGTAAAACTAATGAACAGGCTTTCACCCTGGCCGTTTTGTCAGAACGGAGCACTGTATGGTGTATATGGAAAAACTGGGAGCAGGAAGCGCACCGCAGTACCGCGCCTGAGACTACCTGTAGTTCGGTTGCACTGGAACTGTGGTGCGATTCCCGTGAATGTGAACACACATTGTTCTTGGTACCCGATGACTGCAACGTTAGTTTTGCGTACCATTTTAATCTTCAGAATGTAGTTCATGTGTTCATGTTAATTACAGTAATGTGTTTTCTGTTTATGACACCAGTTACTGTCAATGAACTTGTTGAAAAGGAGAGAATAAAGTTTTTACTTGCATTTCCTTCAGAATTGTGGAATTAATTATTATGCATTTAAAAGAAGGCAGAACACGGTATCGATCGGTATCGGCCGATATCACTCTGAATAATCGGTTATCCGAAATTTAGTATCTCTAAAGATAATGATAATGAGTCGTTATTGGTCACATGAACATTACAGCACAGTGAAATTGTTTTCTTCGCATACCCCAGCTTGTCAGGAAGTTGGGGTCAGAGCGCAGGGGCAGTCATGATAGCAGAGAGGGTAAAGGGCCTTGATCAACAGTGGAAGCTTGGCAGTGCTGAGGCTTGAACCCCTGAGCTCCTGATCAATAACCCAGAGTCTTAACCACTAAGCCGCCACTGCCTCTCTCTAGTTTTTGTTTGTTTGTTTGTTTGTTTTTTGGACTGGGGGAGGAAACATGCTAACCACAAATTTTTATAGTTGCTGAACATCCTCAGAAGACGTTGGTTCCTGTTACGTCTGCTGTTTTTGGAAAGGAACCAGATTATACACGACGTTGGTTGTTTTTCCCCTAATGGAGTCTGTAATATCTGTTTGTCTTCATGTCCCGCAGAACACGTGCCTACGGCCTGTGCCCGGGTAGACGCCCTAAGGTCACACGGTTACCCACGAGAGGCCCTGCGGCTGGCCATCGCCATCGTCAACACCCTGCGCAGACAGCAACAGAAGCAGCTGGAGTTTTTTAGAAAGCACAAAAACGGTGAGCCGCTTCACATCCTGCTCTTCCTCAACCGGCACTGATCACAGGTCCTGAGGAAACGCAGCACGCAGGAAACCGTTTCCTCAAACAGACGAAGGAATCAAAACGAACGAATGAATGGTGGTGATGGCGACGTTGCCGGTTAGCGTGATGCAAATGAAGTCATGCGTCGTTAGCCGGATTTGCATTTTGAGCGTACTGTTCTCTTAATGCCGGTTTTTGTAGTTGGATATTCGGGTCATGTATGCTCTGTGCTAAGACGCAGCATCCGTCAAGCAAGCAACCGTCCTGTATCACGTTCTGACACCGGGGACAGATTGAAACCAGCATTGTGGGTACAAGTACTGAAAAATGTCTCTCGATCTTACTGTAATCAATCATTCCTTTTGATGTTGAGTGTGGTGTTTAAAAAAATTCTTATTATTATTTTTGGTGCAGTTTTTCCCTTTAAGCTGCAACGTCCACTTATGCCCACTGTTGCTGGGGTCAATTGCATTTAAATGCAAATGACTACCTGTTGTGGGACTAGTGCACGAGCACTATTCACATTCAAATAAGGAGGCTCGGTGGCCAGAATGTAAAGTGCCATTGCAGTGATTTGCACAGGAGCTGCAGGAACGGAGGCGTCTGCCGCTCTCAGGTGTCCGCCATTGTCCTTTCGCAACAAAGGAGATGTCACGCTGAAAAAGTCTCGAGTTTTGTCTGGGTGAAGGCCACACATGCCAGACATGCGGAAATCTTTCTCTCTTTTTCCGTAGCGCGACGAGCCGAGGTTACGACAAGCTTATGAAATGTGATCAGAAAGTATTTGAACTATGTAAGCCTGCAAAAAAAAAAAAAAAGACTGCATTTGATGTAGGCTTCACGGGTGTCTGGGTACATGCAGACTCAACAGGGCGTGCTGCTCTAGGAAAATAACCAACGACCAGATGGTGAGACGTTCCCACCCTGAAGTTTTCCATACCTGTGTACACAATGGAGCTGCGTACTTTTTATATCCATTTATAGTTACATACTCGTTCAGTGTGTGTATGTGTATATAAACATAACAGGTTCTGTAAAGCGCAGTTCAGTAATGCTTCGCTTCTCAATCTCTCCGTCTCTAGAAACGCTCTATAAAGGGATGACGTCCATCACGAATTTGGAGGGCTGGGTGGGCCACCCCTTGGACCCCATCGGCACGCTGTTCAGCACGTTGATGGAGTCGGCCCGCGGTGTCGAGGAGAGCTCAGCGGACTTCTCGGGTACACACACACACACGTGTGCACGCAAACAGCTGATGCAGCACCTCACCACAGCACCTGAAGTTCCATACACTGTTGCCAGGCCATGTGGAGGGAACATTTTTCCAGCAGAACGTATTCAACCATTCAGACTAATGTAGTCGCAGAGCTCTGAATAGCAGTAATAAGCAAACCAAAAAGATCTAATGATGGTTTTATATATGATCTAAGCTGAGCTGATGGGAGTCAATGGAGTCACCGTGTAAGGTTTTTTATTTATTTTTATTAATATTATTCTCTCATGTTTGATTAACTTCCCTGCTTTTTTTAAAATGTGTTATTACTTACTTTTACTGGATTCCTTGTTAGAGTATTGCACCTCTACAGTGACACACACTCCTCCAATTAACCCTGATGTGTTGTGGTTCAGTGCACATTTGCACGCTGCTGTGTGTAACCAAGCCAAACCGAGAAGAGGCTCTTTTAATCCAGGCACACAAGAGTCCGTGACTGCATTCTTTCCCCCTGCATTTTTAATGCGTTTTAATTTTAATGTTTTTTTGTTCCCCATCTCTTATTCATGAGCTTTGATTGGCGAGATGGCTGTATCACGATCACCGGCACCGTAATTACGCCTTATTGTCGCCTTCGGGGCCCTCCAAGTTCTAGGTTGGCACCGTCCGATGGGTACAAATGTTCCCTTCATCTCCTCGTTAGGCACACGCTCTCAAGCAGCCGCCATGTTTTAATGGCGCGAGCCTCTGAAGGACCCGTAAATCATGGTTTTAGTGGGAAGCTCGTCCAATAACGCCGTCTTTTCACTTGCTCTTGGGCTAGAACAAGAAAGGTTCTAGTGCTGAACTCCAGTATCTTCTCGTAATGTCCTGTCCTCTGCGTGTTGCTTTGAAGTGCAGCCTCGGATTATTAGCCGTATGGGGAAAGGGGAGTGAGGAGGAGGGAGGTGAGCGGAGGTGTGCGCGTGCGTGCGTCCGTGTGGGATGCCTTGGTGCCTGGTTGTTCCCACCCCCTTCATGATTAGTACGTTAAACCCTCCTGGGATCAGGCACCCCGAATCCAAAGAGGCATCATTAAAACATTACGATCTTGCTCACAATTATCCTCAAATGAGCTAGCATCAGTGGGACTGAATAATCTCGAGTCTGAGAGCACTTCTTATAATAAATATAATGGTTAGATGAAGCTGATGGCGGGGGGGGCAACATTGTTCTGGGACTCCGGTTTGATATTTTGGTGAATTTTTGGGCGTTTAAGTAGGATTTGCTCACTTATGCCACAAAGCCTATCACAGCAGAGGACTCTCGGGTGATCCAGGCCTAATTTCAGTGCCAGCCTGAAGCTCTCTTCTCATTCGCCAGAGTCTCTACGGAGCCCGGCCCTTTCACAGCCAATTAAAAGGGTGGATTTAAATCTGCCGAGGCGTTCCGAGAGAACGTACGTGACGCACTGGAGTTGGCAGCCGTGTAGCCAGAGAGCAGTGGAGGATGAAGGCTTTAGCGTCTTCCCCGAAATCTAAATCTAGTTCTGGTCCTCCGCGTTTTCTCCCACAAGCCCTGTTTTCTCCCACAAGCCAAGACACCCTCCCTGCATTTAGGTTTTTTTTTTGTTTTTGTTTTTTTTGTCTGGCTCTGTTTGGTATTTCATAATCTGCACAATAGCAGTCTGCCCTGTGCTGTTTTTTGTTTTTGCAAGTCCAGCAAAACTCTTTCCTTCGCTCTGAGGGGTAATTGAGCGTAGCTCGCCCAGTGTCCTGGCAAAGACAGCTGCTTCATTAGAGAAAGCTCAGTCCTCTCCGGTGCCTCATTATAATGCACCAAGGCCAGGCACAAGCTCCTGCGAGGCAGCTCTCAACGCGGAGGTGAACTGGTGTCAAAATACCCAGCCGCTTTAAAGAATGCCCGGAGAAGGACCGTTTTAATTGCTGAAGTTTACACTAAGAGAGTAGGCTTTAAACAATAGAATTCTTAAAGTCTAGCAAAAACGAAACGTTCAGTGGACTCAAAAATGCATAGAAACGTCTAGAAATGTCGTCTTTATGTACATTTAACCCTAAAACATCACTTATGAATAACGTCATACTGTACTGACACAATTCAGTTTCTTGCTCTACTGCTGTGTTTTTTGTTTTGTTTTTAAACCAGACATTAAAAGCTCCCTGAATTTCATTTTAAACCCACCTGTAAATATAGGTTTGCCATAAACAGCCCGTCAGCAGACGTTACACAGTACAGTCAGTATGGAAACCATACACTATACGCAGTGCCATTATTTATTTAATTTTTTTTCCCCGCAACCTCACTTTCAAGGAATCTCCTAATTATAGCATTGCTAAAAGCCCTGTCGTCTCCACCAGCAGGCACGACGAGCTCTAGCAAGCACGGCGATGTGCATATGTTCCCCACGACACGCCGTTTCCTGGAGGAGGGCGAGTCCTACCTGGCACTGGCCGTGGAGACCGCTCTCATGGGCCTCGGGCAGCAAAGGATCATGCCCGAAGGTCTGTACGCCCAGGAGAAAGTGTGCCGCAACGAGGAGCACCTCATCGCCAAGCTGCAGGAGGTGGAGCTGGACGACATGCTGGTCAAGATCTTCCGCAAGCAAGCCGTCCTCCTGCTCGAGAGTAAGTGCTGGCTTTTACTGGGCAGAGGTGTTTTTGTTGTTGTTTTTATTTATTGAACCATGGAGTATGTGCCACCCGAAAGAGAAGGATACTGATGTGGCTGTGGAAGCTGGAGGGGAGGAATGAACATGATCTAATTTAGTCAATTTAGTTTTATTAGCATAGCGAGCATTTTTGGCTGCATTCTGATATCAAGGCATGATTTGCAAAGCGCTTTGTTTTGCAAAAACAAAATGGAATCCTTCAGGGCCTCGGGGGCCTTTTCAGCAAAAGCTCCCCAGCCTCCTACATCATGCAAATACTTTTCGAGTTTCCGGGCAAGGTTAAACCATATCGCCAATTAATTCCAGGAACGTGGCACGAACACACTGGCAGTTTTTAGTGTTTTTATATATATATGTGTATATATATGTGCGTGTGTGTGTGTGTGTGTGCACAGAGTTTTCTGTTCATCTGGAAGCCGGTGAATTTGAAATCGTGCACTGAGCACGATTTCAGGGCCGTTTCCTGCACAGTGGCGAGTGTGGAAAGAATGCAAAATGGCCACTGCAGGCAGCCTTGCTCCGAGCGCCACCGCCTCCTCATGAAAGAGGGAAGGAAGCTGGCCACGCTGCGTCCCTTTCTCCTTCCTCGCCTCCCTCTTTTTCTCCCTCCCTCCTCCTGGCCCATGCCAGCAGCCGTCACATGGGCAGTACAAACAGGAAAAGCATGCATGAATGGCAAGACCCTATTACCAGAGTCTCGCTCTAATACACTCAGCATTCTCAGCTGTGTCCATGTGT